GGCTGCTGGAGGGGCCGGCAACCGACAGGCCACAACAGTTATTCTCACAACCCATTGCATCCTATTCCCTGTTGTATCAATTCTTTACCTCAGTGTTTCTCAACTTCAGCCATTTTAAACTGTGTGGACTTCAAGTCCCAGAATTCCCCAGTCAAATGGGAGAATCCTGGGAGTTGAATTCCTTGCAGCTTAAAATTGCTGGTGTTGAGAAACATTGCCATACGTTCTCTCTTGGTCTTTGGGAACAAGAGTTGAAATTGCTGATGCCAACTTTTTGGGCTATGCATTCAGAGAGACCAAGTCATTTGAATAATTAAATTGCAATTGAGGTTCTCGGTCACAATCAAGATCCTTCCGTTTTCCCTCAAGTCAGCCTGGCCACTTCAAACTTCTCCAGCTCCTTTGAACCAAAAATGCAGCCTGGTTTCCTGAGGTTTTAAAAGACCCTTCAAATAATGCTTCCCTTGTTCTCACGACTTTTTCAAAGCCAGAACAAATATTCTTATCATCTGTACTGCCTGCCACTAATATAAATTGTGATCGTGCTAGGATTAGATAAAGCCGGTAAAGTAGATAGATTTATATGAGGTTTAGAGTCCATAATGCAATTTTTATTAGTGTCTGAACTGTGCTTAGATAAAAACACAGCAAAAATAAAAACACTGTACTGTTTTAAAATATTATGGAACAGGTCTTACATTAGAGACTTGAGCACTACATCACTAAGCATGTATTCGGGTGGTTTTTTTTTTTTAAAGGGGAGATGTGAAGGAACTAATGTAAAAACACTTTTCACCTTCCCTACAATTCTAAAATACATATAAAGGAGAATATTTGTAGTTTGGGATTGAAATGAGAGGTCCTTGGTGCTCTCTGAGATTGTTGGTTTTCTTGCAGACATTTCATTACCAAACTAGGTAACATTATCAATGCCAGTAAGGGATGGGATTTGCAGGAAGGAAGAGGAGAGAGGGGGCTTTCTGAGCTTGAGTGTTTTCTTGCAGACATTTCATNAGAAGACTAATAGTAATAGTAATGCAGCCTTAGTAAATAGTTTGACCGTGGTGAGGGAATTATTTGTTTAGCAGAGTGATGGCATTCAGGGGAAAAAAACTGTCCTTGTGTCTAGTTGTCTTGGTGTGCAGTGCTCCATAGTGGCATTTTTAGGGTAGGAGTTGAGGGATCTGTAAATATTTTCATGGCCCTCTTTTTAACTCGTGCAGTGGACAGGTCCTCCATGGAAGGCAGGTTGGTAGCCATTGTTTTTTCTGCAGATCTAATTATCCTCTGAAGTCTGTTTCTGTCTTCTTGGGTTGCAGAGCCAAACCAGACAGGTATGGAGATGCAGAGGACAGACTCAATGATATGTTTTGCTTTGCCAACATTTGAATTACCTTAACCTTTTTTTTCAACTGGGGGAGACTAAAGTAATATTGTATGACCAAAAAGTTTTGGGACTTGCCCCATTCATAAAACAATTACCAGCCCTCCTGTATTGCTACACTTATCAGCATGGTTGTGTCGATCTTTTAATACTACTGATATATTTATTCTATTTATTATTATTATTGCATAATAACACTGTTTAAAATTAAAAGTGATTAAAAGAGCCCCTGCTGGATCTGAGCACAGCTTTCTTACAGTTTCTCCAGCTTTTCACACCAGCCACCCAAACCCCCCTTGGGCTTCTCAGTAGCTGCCTAAAAACCCCAAGGGGTCCTTCGCCGAGCTCATTCCTTACTTTCAAACCCCGTTAGCCAGGCAAAATTAAATGAAAAGGTTGATTTGATTGTTGCTTGTGTAAGGGGGTGAGAGACAGGTACCATATTTTTCAGAGTATAAGACACACCTTCCCCCCCCCCCAAAAAAAGAGGGTGAAAATCTGGGTGCATCTTATACACTGAATACAACATTTTTGGCATCCCAAAACCCTGCTCCTTTGCAAAAATGGCCGTGCATAGCCTTTGGGAGGCTTCCAGTGTGCTCCTAGGGGCTGGGGAGGGCAACAGCAAGCGAAAAACAGGCCGGTTTTTGCTCATTTTTGTCTCCCCAGCTCCCAGGAGCACTTTACAAGCCTCCTAAAAGCTATGCAAGCCCTTTTGAGGGGCAAAAAAATGAGCCCATTTTTGCAAAAAAGAGGCCTTTTTTGCTTGTTTTTGCCCCCCCTCCCAGCCCCCAGGAGCACTTTGCAGGCCTCTCAAACTCTCTACATGGCCCACTTTTCACAAAAATGAGGTGTGCAGGGGGTTGGGGGGGGGTCTGCAGAGTGCAAAAACATTTTTAATTTACCTCTTCAAAATCTTGGTGTATCTTATACTCTGGTGCGTGTTATACTCCTAAAAATATGGTACCCTGGTCTATATACCAAATGAATGACCCATTGGGATCCTCATCTCAAAACAACTTACCTTATGTGTGGCCAGAACCGGAAAATAACATTTAACACAGCACAGGACTTAAGCAAAACGGTTCGGTTGAGACCTGCATATGTGGGACTGATTGGGGTAGATTGCAGAGGTGACACCTAAATGTAATTTTATCGTATTTTATCTATATCTTAAATTATTGTATTCTATTCCAATTTCATTTTAGACTGTATTTGATTCCAATTTCATTTTAAATCGTCTTTTATTCCGATTCCATTTGAAATTGTATTTTATCAAATTTCATTTTAAATTGCTTTTATCAAATTTTAGTAATCATTTGTTTCTGGAACTTTGCACTTTGATATGGCCCAAGGGCTAATCCATAAAGACCCAATCTCAATGAAAAGGATGAATTCAGAAGAACTTCAGCAACCGTTGAACGATTTCCAATCTAGATCCAGAGTATCTTCACATAGGCAGTTCTTTCCCTGGTAATGGAGAGGATTGCAATGGGCTGTTTACATAACCGTCTGCTGGATCTTTATTTCTTTAGGAACAAACTGTTACAATACCCCTGGGAAGCCGACAAACACAACAGGAATGTCGTTTGTGCTGTCTCCACTGAGATTTCACAGCAAGGAACGCTACAGAGTGATGCTATTTCTGAAATTGAACCGTGTGTGTATAACTCACCTAACTTGTAACCTTCTCGTCAATAACTTCCTAATTCCCCTTTTCCCCATCCCCTTATCCAAGTCCCTAGGCACCGTGTCCCTTTCTCTGGCAAATGTCTCTTTTAACTACAGATAGACCTCAACTTATGACTGTAAATGAGCTTCACATTTTCTGTTGAATCAGAATAGGTCCAAATTTGGTGTGGACAGAGAGCGTAACAAAAGAAAGAGGTGTACATAAGCGCACCAATGTGCCTACAACTCCTGTCCTAATGTTCCTTTATATTCGTATCCATTTCATGTATTCAAAATCATGTTTATACTGATATATTTTATCTGATACATGTTTGACAAAAAAAATAAAAAATAAAGAAAGAAGGAAGGAAGGAAGGAAGAAGGAAGGAAGGAAAGAAAAAAAGAAAGAAAGACAAACGTCTTTGTGCAAAGTGAGGGCAGAATCCGAAAAATACGGTAGATACTAACTCACTGCTGTATCCTTACATTTACCCATTTATTGTCAAGGGCCAAGAAAATCAGGAAATCCATATTCAAATAGATATAAAGGTTTACTGTAAGTAAATGGGCTGTGCCCTTGTGTTTGCCCAAGGCTGGTTCATGCTTTGTCTTGCAGGGAAAACTTTCAGAACTTGGGGTGACAAAGCTGGGCTTGCAATCTTTTTCCACTGCTCCATATTTTGTTTTTCAGCCTCGCAGGATCTTGTTTTATGAAATAAAGAGGGAAGGAGGAGTTCACATCCCCCAACCTGCCTTCAAACATTCTCTTCTTGACATTTCTCCAAAAATCCAGGAAGTGCCAGTCAATCAAATTGGCCAAGCCAACCAGGAAGCCAACCCCAAACTAAAGAAACTGGCATTATTTCATCATATCAATCTGGGCACGTTGACTGAATAGATGCCAGAAACACCTTCAGTGCTGTGGCATGCTGAGCGCTCGGTAGAAAAAAAACGCTCTCTTGCTCAACCAGGAACTCACAGAAGAGTCCATGCTGAAAGGCGTCTCGCTTATGCTCTTCCTGTTACTCATTTCAATGCACGCTATGTGGAAATACATAAACATACAAACTGTACACACAGGGAAAGAATGAGAGAAATGGAGCCTGAAAGGACAAAATGCAATTCAAAAGAACTAGTTGTCAATCTGCAAAATGACTTCAGCTGAAGCCATGCTTACTTCTGCTTCATTTCTTGCCTGCCATTCAAGGGAGAGGGGGGAGAACATGGGGAGAACTTGGGAATGTGGTGCCTCAGCTGGCTACCCATAACATCAGGGGTGGGTTCCTGCCAGTTCTAACCTCTTCTATAGAAGAGGTTCCACAAATCTACCGTGCCATTTAGAACCAGTTCCAGCTCCCTCCCCCCGCCCGTCCACACAACAAGATGAAGAGCGAGAGGAGGAATTCTGGGAATTGAAGTCCACAAATCTTAAAGCTGTCAAGTTTGAACACCCCTGGGTTTTTTTTTCTAAAGGGTTAGGGGTGCCAGGGTCTTGTAACTTGACAGTTTTAAGATTTGCGTGCTTCAAATGCCAGAGTTTCTGAGCCAACATTATGGTTGCTAAGCAAGAGCGTTGTTAAGTGAGTTTCACCACATTTTACAAGTTGGCCNCTGCCATCTGTCAGAAACGGTGTAGGGTCTCCTACTTGAGCAGAGGGTTACTGGACTAGATGACCTACAAGATCCCTTCCAACTCTGTTAATCTGTTAAATCTAGGGGGTATCACAAAGAAATGGTGGACCAACCTCTCTGGATGTCCTCCAGCAGAAGATGGCGAGGCATGTATCAGGGGCATTTCAGTTTGGATTCTTGACCTGGTCAGAGGGTTGAGCAGCTTGATTGACTCAATGGCTCCCACCAGCTTAAGGAATGAACCTTCTTCCCCATCACTTTTTTCTACCCTCTTTCTCTTCCCAAGAGCCTGAATAGTCACAATGACACTCACCGATCCCAGAGTGCAAGAAAATTCTCCCAGGAAGTCATGTTCGTACAGTTGCATGCTTGATTTGTCTTGGTCAAACAAGGCAAATTTCAACTTCTGGACCTCCTCAAAGTGATAATCTATGATGAACTTTTTAGAGAAAGCCGGGTTGAGATTGTTTATCGCCGTTTCTGTCCTGTCGATCTACAAAGAGAAAAAGTAGAAGGAAAGAATGGATGAGTTGATCAAGAATCTTTATGAATGAGATGATATTTCCTTGAGAGTAATTTAAGGCTGGGGACATATGGTGGAACTGCTATGAAAGCACTTATGTAAGGTTCAGTTTGAAAATAACTTCCTTTTTCATAATGGCCCACCAGATATCCAAACCGTAGTTTAGCAAAGTTGCATCTGCAAACTGCACTAGTAGATGGGTATTCAGAAGTTAAGGGCATTTCTCACATCTGTTGAATGATTATGTGCTTTTTAATATTAATTAATATATTAATAAGTCTGACTAGCTATCAACAGAGCAAGACTGAAATTTTTACAAATGGAGGCTGACAACAAATATTATCATCTCACACTGGAAAGAAACATCTGCATTTGATTCAATATAGAACAGAATAGAATAGAATTCTTTATTGGCCAAGTGTGATGGGACACAGAAGGAATTTGTCTTTGGGGCAGATGCTCTCAGTATACATAAAAAGACAAGATACATTTGTCAAGAATCATAAGGTACAAACACTTAATGATAGTCATAGGGTACAAATAAGCAATCAGGAAACAATCAATATCAATATAAATNGAGCCAACATTATGGTTGCTAAGCAAGAGCGTTGTTAAGTGAGTTTCACCACATTTTACAAGTTGGCCACGCCCACCCAGTCATATGACTACCAAGCAACTCTCACCTGGTCACATGGCCAGCAAGCCACTCCCACCCGGTCACATGGCCAGCAAGCCACTCCCACAAAGCAGGCCACACCTACAGAAGAGGTTCTAAAAGTTTTTGAAACCCACCACTGGGTTTCAAGACGTCCTTGACTCTCTGAGAAAGGAATGCTATTTTGCCTATATATCTCCCCTACTCCATACAATCCCCCCTCCCAGCTTTCCACAGTAGTAAATGTGGCAGGCCTGAAGCTCACATGCAAAAGATGGCTTCCAGGCCTGACATACCACGCATAACTTCAAGACTTCCAGAGGGAATTTTAATCCCCCAAATCCTACAATCCAGCCTTGTGCATCGTCCAGAGCGCCAACTGAATGCACTGGAGAAGTTCAGAAGCGTGATGGGTGCAAAGTCTTTGAATGGGACAACTCACTGCAGCCAACGTGCCTTGGGACAATTTAACAATTCCGTTTCATTGTTTAAAATATTTAAAATATTATGGGTCTCTTCTTAAAAGCTTCCAGTAGTGAAGCTCCCACAACCTCTGAAGATAATTTATGTTGATTGTTCTCACTGTCAGGAAATTTGTCCTTATTCTCAGGTTTATTTATTTAGCTGGCTTCCCAGCTGGCTTCCAACAAACAAAGTTAATGGGGGAAGCTGCATTCACTTAATGACCTCGTGCTTCACTTAATGATTGCAATAACTTGCTTAACCACCATGGCAAAGAAAGATGTAAAATTGGATGCACTTAATCATCATCTTGTTTAGCAATGGAAGTTCTGGTCTCAGTTACGGTCATAAGGCGAGGATGGCTTATTATTTGCTTGCATCAGTCCCAAATTTATCAAGCTCGGAAGGTAGCGACGGTTTCGTTTTCTCTTGAAAGCAGCCCTCCCATTACCTCCCGTGACAGCCGACTTACAGTTGGCAACTGCAAATGGCTCCTTTTACTATTTACTCTGAAATCTATCAGCGTTGGCAAAGGGAAAAGGTTAAAACAAAAACTGCCAATGTTTGAAGGCTAGAAATAAGTCTATCTCGCGGGGAGGGAAGGAGGGAGGGAAAGTTGCAGAAAAAAGCGGGGAGGGGGAAAAACAGCTTTCTGCAGAAATTTTAAAAAAAATGGAGAGAAATGTTTGGAAAGGCACAACACAATATGGTAATTTTGCTAAAAATACTGGAAGGTTGGTAGGGAAATGGAACAGCGAGTTACTGCAAGGCAGCTGTCAGAGGAGGAGAAAGCGTAGAAAAGCTCAAGCTATCTTCTCCAAACGGATTCCTACATGATTGTTTGGGAGGGTAGCAATCAAGCAATCAGCTATGTATTAGTAGTAATTACACAGCAGAACTTGGAAACCCGGGAATGATGGTTGGCTGTGGCTTTTCTGCGCATGGAATGCTATACGCTTGCATCTGCAAAAACAAATATTTCTTTCTTTCTTTCTTTCTTTCTTTCTTTCTTTCTTTCCTTCCTTCCTTCCTTCCTTCCTT